ACCGGTGTGAAGTTTGGTCATTGTTTGAACTTGTTGAATATTCTTCATTGTTGAGGCCATTGGCGGCCATTTAGATGAACTACGTTCGGCTTGATTCCTTGGCCAAGAGGATACGTAGGTAGTCTTACAGATACAGCCGGTTGAGATTGATTGGGGGGTGTTTTTGGTGTCGGCTCAGTCTTGGCAAATGTTCACCGAGGTGGAGATTTGTGGAACTAGCAGCAGAGGTTGACAGGTTAAGATTCAAGCAAACTGGGTGGCGGTCGACCGACCCGGTCGACCGCATTCGTGCACATTGTTCACTGGGCTTCAGCATTGGTGGCGGTCGACCGGTCCGGTCGACCGCAGAAGTTTCTGCTCGGTGGTCGGTCGACCGGGTCGGTCGACCGCCGAACTCTCTGGAGTTTGGATCTGACGACCGCCGAAGCGGTTTTGAGTTGGGTTCTGTTTCCAGACCCGTTTCGTTTGAGAGTTGTATTTAAACCCTGAACTCGTTTCTAGGGTTAAGCTTTGGCGATTTTGAGCTGCTGAAAGGGGATTTCTAGGGCTTCTATTGTTGGAGTCTATTGGAGAGATCAAGTGGTCTTGTTTGAGGGTTTTGAGTAACATTTGTAACCCTAATTTGTATTCCCCTTTGATTTCATTAGTAAAGCTTCCCCCTTCTTGCCCCGTGGACGTAGGTACATTGCCGAACCACGTATATCTTGTGTTCTTGCTGTTATTGGTTAGCTTGTATTCACTTGTGGTCTACTATTGTTCTTGTGTGTGCTTTTGATTTGGCTATTTGGGGCTTCCGCGGCGCACAACTAGGGAAAATTACAAAGAAAAGAACAAAGAAAATTGATTTGTATTCCTTTGATTCTGATTACAATTTGATTACAAAAGAGAAGAGAACGAATTTGATTCTCTCCTTTGTTTAAAACTGGGTTCTTCTCGGTAGCGATGGAATGCCTCCTTCGATTGCTCGCGTCGAATTTGCTCTCCGTTGACGATCCGCACGTCTTCTTTTCTCGTGGGAACGATGAACTTCTGTAGTAAGTTTTATAAGTAACTCTTCAACGAGTTTAAGAACTCTGAACGAGTTAGAACTCTGTTAATAGAGTTGTTAGAACCAAAAATTTGGTTAATGACCAAGCTGATATTCTGTTGTTGAAGAATCTTCTCAGATTTGATCTTCTGACTTGATTCAAAAATCCTATCTCCAGGGATTTTAATGCTGCTGCTGTTGAATCACCGAACCGAGTGGTTGAGATCCTCCAGAATTCGCTCCTGCTGCTAACTCTTTCGTTCCAAAAAGCCAGCCTTCAGTGGTCGATCTGAGCCAAGAAATTCCCCCCTTGAACTCCGTTGAGTTTGTTGAGTTTTTATAGGGGGATAAGAGATTGTAACTGCCCTCTAAATCCGCTCCTAAGTGGGCGTGATTTCCTCAGATCGTGGGGAAACAGTTCTGAAACCGTTCGACTCGTGTTTGAACGAGTCAAACGCCCAATCTGGCATTCAGAACCCGACTTCGTGTCTTAGAATTAAGACGTGAAGTTGGGTGTTGGCTGAACATTGATGAACGCGAGGGTCGCTCGCGTTTTGGTTTGTTGTAGCTTAGAAACGCGGGGGTCGGTGTTGGCTGGACCCCTACGAACGCGATGATCACTCACGTTTGGTCTGTGGCTTGGAAATGTGAGGGTCGGTGTTGGTTGGACCCCTACGAACGCGAGGGTGACTTGAAAACGCGGGGGTCGCCTGCATTTCTAGAATTGTAACGCGGGGATGACATCTGCGTTTCAGAAGGAGCTTTTTTGACTTGTAACTTCTTCTGTGAAGCGTTGCGAGGGCCGTTGTTTAGTAATCCTAGCTTTAGCTGTTGTGGGGTGTGAAAGTCGTCAGATTGTAACTTTCACTGTAGAATGTGAAGACTGCTGAATAGAGTTTTCATCAGTTGTCGAAAGTGTCGTTGAATTGTAACTCTTCTCGATCTATGTGAAAAGTCCTCTATTTGCCGCTTTCGATTGTCGACCCGAAAGCTATTTGATTGTAGCTTTCGTTGTGGGAGCTTGACGGGAATCAACATCCATAGTATTTTGAAGATGAATATTTACCCACAACTCTCTACCAAGCAACTCACTAACTTTCGATTGTCGGCGCGAAAGCTATTTGATTGTAGCTTTCGTTGTAGGAACTTGACGGGAATCAACATCCATAGTGTTTTTAGATGAATATTTGCCCACAGCTCTCTACCAAGCAACTCACCAACTACGTCCAACCTTTTATTTCATCAAGATCAATCATCTCAGAAATGAGGCCGTGTTTGTGGCGATTGTAGAATTGCGAATACAGTGACTAGAAAGTCGTCTGATTGTGACTTTTATTGTCGGAGCTTGATAGGGATCAGCTATCCATCGTGATTTTTAGACAGCCTACAGCGGCGCACAACAGTAAGTTGTTGATTGTATTAAACGTGAGATAAAATAATAATATCGTCTATTTATATACACCGTGACATCATTACTATGAATTTCTGGCTTCGCCAACTGGATGTACATTGATCAAGTAGGTGTCCAAATGAAATGAATGCCGTTGTTAATTGGCCTTCTCTCTGCGAAAATGTCTTCCGTAAGGAATTACACCAAAATTGATTTGCCCTTTACTAGACTCGTAGAAATGTTTTAAGTGAGAACCTGACTAAGTGATCAACTTTGTTACCGAAAGTCCGCTGCTTAAATAAAGGCAACAAAGCTTTCAAATTAACACCACCACTTAATTTCCAGCTTTGGAAACTCACAGCACCTTACTTTGAACAAGAATATTCTACAAATTAGTGAATATATAATAAGTCGAAAGTAAAGGACCCTAGAAAGCAGCCAGCCGATAGATTTGTATAACTTCCATGTTGAAGTAAGAAAAATAAATGATATTTCAATACTCAAATGCCTCAAACTCCCCACCATCTTTATAACTTCCAAAGCAGCTAAAAGGAATGTTAAGCTCCTCTTGGGATCCACACAAAAAATTTCAAGCTTCCCGAGCTTTACAGATCCCGATCCCAAAAAGAAAAATTCAGTCAGTCCTCCCTCGGGATTTGTTCCCCATCATCTCCCATTACCCACGTTCCTCCTCAAAGTTGGCATACGTACATAAGATAGCTCAAAACTTTATACACTTTATATAAACTTCACTTCCACCACATAAGTATTTTTTTTCCCCCATCAATGGCAAGAAAATTAGGCGAGGAGACTGTTACGCCACATAATTAAATATTTTCACACTATGAGGAGGACTGAACCCTTTAAAAAAAAAACCACAAAAAAAACAAATGGGGATATCCGGATTCCGAGCGACTAAGAATTAGAGAGCAAATCCGTCCGTCCGTCGATCGCGGATCCCGATGAGGCGATGAGTATATCCAAGGGGAATATAAACGATGGTTCTGGGAAGCAATAAGGTAAAGGTAACGTAGTCATTAATTAGTGATGTAATAAATAAAAATTAGATAAAAGGCATGTGAAGGGACCAAGGTACGTAGGAGTGAACATTCCTTCTTTTTAACGCATCCTCTTCCTCCTCCTAACAACGTGGTCACATGCGCACCAGATCCAACGCAAAGTCAGTACTTTTTTTTATTTTATTTTATTTTATTTTATTTTGTATGGTTGGTGTGTTATTACGATTCAAACGCTACCACCTAGCTATCTAGTATTCTATAATCACCCAAGCACGTCTACTCAACATTCAAAGTGAATAAATAAGTCACATTAAATAAGATCGAATAGCAACAAAGTTTCAGTGCCCCGCCTCAACTCAACGGGGTAGTACAAGCCTACAGCCGCTCATCTAAAATATAGGATGCTACCCAATTAACCTCGACGCATCGTTTTTATTTGATGAAAAAGTAATCAAAAGCCTCCCCCCCCCCCCCCCCCCCCCCCCCCCCCCTTTTTTTGGGTGGGGGCGCCGGTTGGGGTGGGGGGTTCCTTCGTTCAACCGAAGCACGCGCGACGAGGATGTGACACAAATGATGCAATAGGATGTATTTGGAAATTATTTATTGAGAGAACCAATAATCAAATAGCTTGAAAATTATTGCAATATCGATGATAAAAAAGGAGCAATCGCATCGAGAGGGATCTGTTAGTGTAGACGGGGAGGTGTTGGGAGCGATGATGATGCAGTAGGAGCCTCTTTTTTGGATAGTCGCACATCTGATATATCTTCATCTTTGGATGAACACAAGAGGAATTAGTAGGAGCCTCTCTTTCGACTCTACCCTCGGCACCTCCGAAGCAAACATCGTCAGTTTGACGATGTTAACCCTTTAGAAGTTTTTAAATCTTCCTAGCTAGTTAGTTAGTTAGAATAAAATCTCGCCCTCCGTGTACCACTACCAATGGATAAACCCGTAAATTTACAAAAAAAAGATGGGCGACCACAACTTCCTGCTTCTTTCCTGTATGGGAGAACGAACTGCTGTCCTTTCTCAACTATACTAACGGACGAATCAACAAGTACGCTGTTCAGCGTGGCTCGTGACGCCACCAGCACCCCACTGCCCTCAAAAATTAAACCTTTTGCCCCTTTTTTCCGTCC